GAGCAAGCCTGGGGGCACGACCGGCTTGCCAGTGATGCGGTCGGGATGAGGGGGGGGGGAGCGAGTAGGATGGACCGAGCTGCCGTTGCCATGCAAAGGTACTGCACGGATAACTACCGCGGAGCGAGGAATAGCGTAACAGAGAAGAGACCAGCGCTGCTTTGCGTGGGAGGCGACCTCCGGACCGGTGGTGGGCGCCAGCTCGCCAGCCTCAGAGGTGCTGGGTAGAACTGCGCTTGAAATTGGAGCGGGGAAGACGGAAGACGTGGGAGTTCTTGGCCGCACGGCTCCTTGCGGGGAAGACGGAGGAGGACGTGGGACTTGTTGGCCGCATGGCTCGTGTACGAACGGCCAGCCGGAGGGAGCAGCCCCAGCGTGCTCGTCGGCGCTGGGCATACAGTCGGGGCCTTGACCTAAGGAACCCTAAATAAGGAACGAGGCCCCTTTTTTCCATAAGTTGAACTTCGACTTCCCATCGAAAATGTAAGGAAACCCTTAGGCAAGGTGTAGCACGATTCAGGAACACCGAGCCCCTCCCCAACGAAAAGGGTTTCTTTTTCAGCGCCCCGAATGTACGACCTTCGCAGCGCACGGTGAGACCCGTGGCCGAAGTCCGGCGTGCTTTCGAGGCGCGCGTGTCAACACCACAGCCACGGCGCGCACGCGCGAAGAATGGCATGCCCGGAGCGTGGCTCCCATTGCCCCTTCGGGGCTTCTCTGGCCGCTCCTCGCCCCGCTGTGCTCCCGCTGCCCGGCGCCTGCGCTGTGCTCCAGCGCGCCCCTCCCGCTGCTCGACCGCGGCCTGCTCCTCTCAGGAGGGGAAAACACACACAAACACAATTCATCGTCGATTCCCCGGAAAACATGGGAAAATGTGGGGAAAAAAGGGGGGGGAAGGGGGGGGGGAAGACAAAGAACCCAAACATGTAGGAAAATACAAGGAAGCCGGTCATCTGTGTGTATTTATGCGTGCGTGGCCCAGGGCCCCTTTATCCTCCTGCGGCCGCTGACGGGCAGAGGTCTCAGCCGCCGCCGCGCTGCCACACTTTTTTGCTTCGCGGGTCGAGAGCGCACCTCTTCCGGTCGAAGTTCAGCGGGCCGCGCGGAGCTCGAATTGAGCAGAGATGGGGGAGGAGAAGGGGGGCGCAGCCTCATAACGAGGCCGGTATTTATGTGTGCTTCTGCCGGTACTTCGCCACCGGGTTCCTGGACAAGGCGCGCCTTTGCATGTACGTCGATTTCGGCACCGCCTGATCCCCAGGCTTTGCCTCCTCCCGGCCTCGCCCTGAGGCTGCGCTCTCCCCCCCTTCCTTCCCCTCTCTGATACTAATTCAAGCTTCGCGCGGCCCGCGTTGCTTCGACCGGAAGAGGTGCGCTCTCGACCCGCGAATCAAACAATTGTGTGTGTGTGTTGATGTGTGCGTGTCCCAGGGCCACTATCCTCCTGCGGCCGCTGACGGGCAGAGGTCTCTGCCGCCGTCGCGCTGCCACTTTTTTGATTCGCGGGTCGAGGGCGCACCTCTTCCGGCCGAAGCTAAGCGGGCCGCGCGGAGCTTGAATGAACCAGAGACGGGGGAGGAGGAGGAGCTCACAGGATGAGGAGGAGGAGGAGGAGGAGGAGGAGGAGGAGGAAGCGGAGGAGGAGGAGGAGGAGGAGGAGGAGGAGGAGGAGGAGGAGGAGGAGGAGGAGATGGGGGCGCAGTCTCAGAGCGAGGCCGGGAGGAGGCAAAGCCTCGGGAGCAGGCGGTGCCGAAGTCGACGTACCTGCAGAGGTTTCTGCCGCCGTCGCGCTGCCGCACGGAGCGCCCCATGAGGAGCGAGGGGGGCTCTCTCCTCTGGAGCCGCGGCGGGCCTCGGCCACGGGCAGGTGCCCCCGCCTGCAGGCAGCAGAGGCCCGAGAACTACCGTGACGGGGCCCTGGGCCACGCACATAAATGCACACAAATAGGAGGGAGGAGGAGGAAGGAGGAGAGGAGGAGGAGGAGGAGGGGGAGGAGGAGGAGGAGGAGGGGAGGAGGAGGAGGGAGGGGAGGAGGAGGAGGAGGAGGAGGGAGGAGGAGAGAGGAGGAGGAGGAGGAGGAGGAGGAGGAGGAGGAGGAGGAGGAGGATTCCCGATATTTTCCCATGTTCACTAGGTTTTTGCCTTCCCCCCCCCCCCCTTCCCATAGTTTCCCATAGTTTCTGGGGAATCGACGATTCATTGTGTCTGTGTGTTTTTCTCCCTCCTGATATTGGCCCCTCCCGAACCCGAAGCGGCCCTCATTTCAGTGCTTTGGCTGTGCGCGTTGACTGCCGGCGAGCCAAGCATCACACCGTCGCTTCGGGACGTGCGCGTGCGGCCGTGCACGTCCGTGCACGGCCGCGCCCGCTCCTGCCCGGGCAGCGGGAGGCCTCTCCGCCATCCAGGCTCCTGTGAAGAGGCCTCAGGACACACAAATAAATATACACACAGAGCAAGACATTCCCCACATTTCCCCATATTTTCTGGGCTTTTTTGTCCTCCCCCCCGCTTCCCATATCTTCCCGTATTTTCCTGGGAATCGACGATTCATGGTGTCTGTGCGTTTTTTCCCCTCCAAGCTCCCGGGCGGCACGGGCTCGAGCCGCGGGGGCTCCCGTGAGAGTGCGTCTCGGCGGGCCTTCGGCGGCCGTGGGGGGTGCCAACATTTGAGCAGCCGACCGATCGGCTGCGCGTGTGTACAGGACGAGAGCGGGCGAGGCCGATGGGCGCAATACGACGCGGGTAGGCGCAGCATGTCTGGTCATCGCTCGGACGTCCATTCCCTGTGCTTTTTTCGGTTTCGTGTGTTGTTTTTTCGCCAAAGGATCACGCATGCTCCTCGATGGCCCTCGCCTAGAAAAAATGCACACGTCCGAGCGATGCCAGGATGTGGGCCAGCGGCTCCCAGGGTGCCTCCCCTGCGGGCCGGTGCGCGCAAGAGCTGCTGCGCCCAGAAAAGCCGCACGTGGCGGCGCCGGCCTCGACGCGCGAGGCGCCCGGGCGGAACGCTTGCGAGGACGCTGGGAAGGATGCCTCGGGTCGGGCGAAAGGGGGGGATAGCAAAAAGAGGGTTTGAGAATCAGCTCACGTAGCTGATTTTCGCGGCGCCTCCCGGCGCCAGAGGCGGCCATGTATCGAGGAATGGGCCCCTCGGTGAGGCCGAAACCAGCTGCATGCAGCAAATTTCGTAACCCCCCCTTTCCCTATCCCTCCCTTTCGTCCGGCCCGAATGTCTTGGGAGCTTGCAAGCTCGAGAAAGGGGCTTCGTAGGATATCCCCAACAAAATTCGAAAGAACGGCGGAAAAAAAACTTCCGGCACGCACGTTGAGAACGAGTCGGGAAAAGCTTGCCGGAACACGCTGCGAGGTCACAAGAAGCGCTGCGGGGATGCCTGCCCGGTGCCCGGCGCCGGAACGAGCTCCCAGGTCACCCTGTGCTGCCGGCGCTTCTAATCTGGAGCCCTTTAAGCTCTCAGAGTGCTATCCTGGAATGTGCTCCGCAGGATGCTGAGATGGTAGATGATGACGCTAGCTCCTTGGAGGCTCCAATGAGAGTTGCCCGGCGCGTGCTTCCGCCTGAGCCCTCTGGAGCTAAACCCCTACCCCAGCTTCTAAGAGGTTCAGGTCGCAAGATTCGTAACATGGCTGCTAAGGGCCCCACGGTGCCAGAGCAGCCGCTTCTTGCAAGTGGGACAGTGCCTCCAGCATCGGCAAGAGGCCATCACTTGTTTGTCCCACTGGGTGCGGTCGCGGTTTGTATGAATCGTGGTGGCACGTCCACGTGGGGCTCCTCGTGTCTTCGTGTTGCGTGCCCACCGCCACCGCATTCTGCTCGCACCCACAATTATATAGCAAGGGTGAACAAGCAGAGCCATCCCTCCGACAAGAGGAGGAGGGTTCGGAGATCCCCAAAGCCAGGCCTCCGGAGGCTTGAGACCCTGAGCTCATTGGGACAGGACTGCTACTTGCCGTCTCATCGCCAGTGTCGTCCATGTTTCTGTGCACTTTCACCTTGCACTGAACTCGTTCGACGTTCAGGCTGCGCTGCCGATCTTGGCGGCACTGGTATCCTTATTAGTTTCACCGATGAAACGATTGCAGCTGTGTTATATATCAAGCTTCGCTCGGCATTCATGTGTGGCTCTCCTGACGGGCTCCATCTTCATATTTCATACTTACTTAATATGTATTCGGTGTTGTGTGATGCCTTACGTCTTGCGTGGCAATCATCTTATCGGATCTTCTGAGCCGTAGTTTTGCTCGCCGACGCTTGAGCATCTCATTGCAACTCGAGCTTTACACTCCGCGCTCTTGCTTTCCAGGACACAGTTCATTCATATGGATTCGATGCTGTGTTCTTGGCGTGATGCGTGATATCGCCTGCTTCGCGTTGCACACTTGCTCGTGTGGCGCTTAAGTATTTCTTTGCAGCTAGAGCTTCTACGCGCAGCGTTCTTTCATCGAAGGCGCTGTGCATTCATACTTCTTCCTTAACGATGTGTTCTGACGTGCGGTGTGATATCTCACGCGCCGCGTGGCACGTCGTCTCGCGCTTGTGCGCGGCCCCCGCTGTGAACCTGTTTGGGTGGGCGTCTTGGGGTCGGCGTTTCTGAGCGCCATGGAAAGCCCGAAATGGTCTGTCCGTTCTGGCATGAACGTTTGCACACTGCGCGACGGACTCCGTGCAGTCCGCTGCTACCCCTATTTGTCCATGACTTCTTCTACTGTCGCCACTACCGTTATTACCCCAACAACGGCCGCCAACACAACAACAACAGCTACCAATCAAAACCGCCCTGCGCTGCCCCAATTATCCTGCCTCCTCCCTCCCTCCCTCGTCCCTCTCCTGCCTCCTTCGTCCTCGTCCCCTCCCCCTCCCTCCTCTCTCCGTCTCCTCTTCCTTCTCCTCCTCCTCCTCCTCCTCCTCCCCCACCTCCTCCTCGTCCTCGTCCTCGTCCTCCTCCTCCTCCTCCTCCTCCTCCTCCTCCCTCCTCCCTTCTGTCTCTTCCTTTGGGCGTGAAGGGCGACGGCAAGCATGCCACGAGGCACTTCGGGATGAGGATCCTGTGCAGTTCGCCGCTGGGCGCACCGGAGACCTGTGCGTCTTCCCGCGGGGGGGTATTCCTTCTCCTCCTGCCTGCACCTCAGGGAGGAGAACGGGGGAAAGGGAGTGAGGAGGGGGGAAAAGGGGGAGGACCAGTGGTTCTGCTTGTTTCGATGGCGCTAAGGAGGCCCATCACGCGGCGCTGATGCTGCGACACGCCCTCCCGTCGCAAATCCTTCGCTCGCGCCCGCCAGATGCAGATATCCGCTTTCATCAGGCGGGCGCCCGCAGGAGAGGCGAGGAGGGCCTGCCCTGCGGATGCAAGAGGGCCTTGGAATAGTGCTGCTCCTCTGGCCTTGTCAGAGGTTTGATGCGTTGGGGCGGGATTCTCTGAGCCGCACTCCTCGCTCCTGAGGAGTCTTGGAGGGCCTGGGTCCCAAATTCCGAACTTTGGCGAGGCTTGCCACTGGGCTCCCCGCATCTCTTCGCGTGACTTTTCGGGCCCAAGAGGGCCCCAAAACGGACCGAAAGAGCCTCGAGAGGCCCTCAGACGGCCCCGAGTCGCCGAATGATCGCTCCAAGACGACCAAGGTTGCCCCCAGACGGCCGAAGAGGCTTCCAAGACGCCCCAACCGAGAGGCCTCCCGAGAGGCCAGAATCGTTGGTTTCCTTATGCTTTTAACGAATTTTGGCGTTTTCGCCGTTTCGGCTCCCCGACGCTCCCAGACGGCGCAAGAGGGTTCAACAACGGCCCAAGAGGGCCCCAAGACGGCCCAAGAGGTGCCCCAAACGGCCTAAGATGGCCCCAGGACAGCCTCAGAAGAGGCCCAAGGGAGGGAACTCGAGCCGAGCATCCGAGCCTTCTGCCCCAGGAGGCCCCCATGAGGCCCCAAGAGGCGCCCAGGAGGCCCCAAGAGGCCCCCAAGAGACACAAAAGAGGCACCGAAACGGCGCCCAAGAGGCCTCCAAACTTCCCCCGAGAAGCCTCCCACGAGATCCCAACGACCATCGAATGTAAGTCACACCCACAACTCAGGCACGGTGGCGGAGTTGGCCGAAGGCCTTCCATCTTTCTGTATATTAAGACATGTGTGTGTATGTATGTATGTGTATGCATGTCTGTATGTATGTATGTATGCATGCATGCATGTATGTATGTATGTATGTATGTGTGTATGTATGTATGTATGTATGTATGTATGTATGTATGTATGTATTTATGTATGTATGTATGTGTATGTATGTATGTATGTATGTATGTGTATGTGTGTATGTGTGTATGTGTGTATGTATGTATGTATGTATGTATGTATGTATGTATGTATGTATGTATGTATGTATGTATGTATGTATGTATGTATGTATGTATGTGTATGTGTGTATGTGTTTGTATGTATGTATGTATGTATGTATGTATGTATGTATGTATGTATGTATGCATGCATGCATGCATGCATGTATGTATATACACATATATATATATATATATATATATATGCGTATGTATGCATGTGTGCATATATATACACATATATGTATATACATATATCATATGCACGTATTTTATTACCCGGAACCCCCCCTAAACCGGATCCCCCCCAAGGATGCCCTGGACACCCTTTCGGACGTTTCAGCGGCCCCATGGACGCCCTTGGAAAAGGTCCGATGGCCCATCCGGGCCTCCCAGGGCGCCTTGCCGGGCCTTGCGAGCAGACTCAAGGCGATCAGAGGAGTCATCGGAGAGGCGCAAGAGAGACCCAAGACAGCACCAGAGCGCTCCAAGAGGAACCTCGATGGTCTGAAGGCGGCCACCCAAGACGCCCCAAGAGCCTGTTACGAAAGCCCAGAGGAAGAACATATCGTCCCATTCCTTCGGGGAAATGTATAAGTATAACAGATCCGCTGATTGGGACTTCGCAGCGTCCAAAGCGGCCCGACACGGCCCAAGAGGCCCCCCAGAGGCTTTGAAGACGGCCCAAGAGGGCCCCAAGAGGGCCCCAAGACTGCCACAGAGAACCCCGAGACTGCCCGCAAGAAGCCCAAGATGGCCCCAGAAGACTCCCAAGAGAGACCCACGAAAGCCACGGGAGACCCCCAAGAAGGCCACTGCAGGCCCCCAAGAGGGCCCTAGATGGCTTCAGAAGACATCTGGAGGGCCCCAGTTCCCAAGACGGCCCAAGAAGGCCGCGGGACGGCCCAAGAGGGCCCCAGGACGGCCCAAAAGATCCCGCAAAACGCCCAGACGGCGTTTTCTTACGAAGTACATCGAGCTGACCCGACGATTTTGGTTCCACGCTTGAGGCTCGAGGTTTCAGTTCTTCGATCGAGAGAGACAGGCAGTGGCTCTAGATTCGAAGTTCGACGACCGAAGATTTCCTGACTGCCTGGGGCCTTCCAGGCATTCAGGAAGCTACCAAAAATGGATTTGTTCGGTGCTACTGCGACTTCTTCGGCGTGTCATGAGAACGCAACATATCATTCCCCCAGCTCCTGCGAACAAGCGTGCAAGCGCATCGGGCGAACGCGGTGACAGCCAGGGATATCAGAAAAATGAGCCGGTCGCCCGTCCAGGCTTCGAGGTCCCCCCGCTGAAACAAGCGATGATTGATTGCTTTGCCGGGGAGGGTCCGGAACAAAGCGCAAGGCGCGAAGCGCCAATGCAATCTTGTACACACACACACATATATATACATACAAGATTTTACCGGCTCGCTGCGCTTCGCCTTTTAAATCTTGGTCGCATGACGCCAGGGAGGCGCGATGAGATCGGTTGTCGTCACAGCCGCGGTGTGTTCTGGCCATGGAGACCACGGAGCAAACAGGGCTGATAGGACCCAGGGAAGATTGCGGCTCAAAGAGCGCAGAAGGGGTCTCTGCCGTCATGGGGGCCCAACGGCTCGGAGCCCCCATTTTAGGCGAGGGGTAATGCTGCCGATGCGGCTCCAGGGGGTCATGAGACTCACAGGGCTCACAGGGCCCATGGGGTTCGTTGGGGTCATGGGACTGTTTGTGTACATCGGTCATGGGGCTCATAATGCTGAGTGGCTTTTACAGAGGTCATGGGGGTCATCGGAGGCTCATGGTGCTTATAAGGGTCCTGGGGCTCCTTCGAGTCATCAACTCTTGGGGGCCATGGGGCTCATAGAACTCGCAATGCTCCGGGGGGCCCATAGCGCTAACAGAGCGCGTAGGCCTCGTAGGGCTCATGGGGGCGATTGGGGTGAAGGGGCAAGTCGGGGCCATAGGGCTCATAAGCCCCATAGGCCGTATACGGCTCGCTGGGCTCGTAGGGCTCAGAGGGGGGTCTCATGGGTCTCGCAAGGCTTCACGGCTCCTAGTGCTGAGGGGGTTCTAGGGCTCATAGGGCGCATAGGCCTCGTAGGGGTCATCGCGCTCATATGGTGTCATGGAGGGTCGGGGGGGTATGGGGCTCGGCTCATTGAGTTCATGGGGCTCCTGGGGCTCGTGAGCTCATAAAGGTCATGGGGTTTCTAGTGCTCATAGGCCTCAAAGGGCTCAGCAGGCTCATGGGGCTCATGGAGCTCGGAGAGCTCATGGGCTCGTAGGACTCTGAAGGCTCATTGGGCTCCTACGGCTCATTTGGGTAATAGGGTTCGTGGGGGTCATAGGGCTCATGGGCCCCATAGGGCTCACAGAGCTCATAGGGCTCATAGGGCTCATGGGTTCGTAGGGCTTAAAAGGCTCATTGGGCTCATAGGGCTCTTCGGCCCCATAGAGCCCATAGGGATCATAGGGCTCATAGGGCTTAAGGGCTCATGGGGCCCATAGGGCCCATAGGGTTCATAGGGCTTAAGGGCTCATGGGGCTCATGGGGCTCATAGGGCTCATAGGGGTCACCGGGCTCATAGGGCTCATATGGCTCATAGGGCCCATGGGCTCATAGGGGTCATCGGGCTCGTAGGGCTCATAGGGCTCATAAAGCATAGGGCTCATAGGGCTCATAAGGCTCATACGGCTCATAGGGCTCATGGGCTCATAGGGGTCACCGGGCTCATAGGGCTCATAAAGCTCATAGGGCTCATAGGGCACATAGGGCTCATAGAGCTCATGAGGGTCATAGGGCTCACAGGGCTCATGCGGCTTCGGCCTCCTCGGCTCGCGCGACTGATTGGACGAAGTCGCACCCCACAGGGAGCTCCACCGACGGTGAAGAGCCAACGTGTGCATGCCGCCTCACCGCTCCACCGACGGTGAAGAGCCAACGTGTGCATGCCGCCGCACCGTCCATGGCGGCACACCCATGATCTGGATTACGAGTTGGGGGGCCCTTCGGGGTCTCGCGGCATGTGGGGGTGGGAGCTCAGGAGGTGTTAGCGTTCCCAGGCCTCACAGGGCTCATGGGGCACCATAGTGGTCGTAGGGCTTGTGGGGGCGAGAGGCCTCATATGGCTGATAGGGGTATGGCCTCTCGGGGCTCTCGTGGGGCTTCTTTTGAGGCTCTTTTGGGCTGTGTGGCGGCCCTCCTGGGCCGTCCGGGACCCTCTTGGGCCGTCCTGGGGGGCTTGCGCCGTCTTGGGGTTTTTTGATTATTCTTGGGGGCCTCCTGCGGCCTTCTTGGGGCTCTCTGCGAAGCCTTTTGGTGCTCTTTGGGGCCGTCTTGGGGCTCTCTGGGGTCGTTTTGGAGCCCTTTGGGCTGTCTTGGGGCTCCCTTGGGGACTTCTTGGGCCGTCCTGGACGATCTTGGGGGCCTCTTGGGCCGTCTTGGACACGGTGAAGGCTAAAGAAACGGATCTGCTAAAAATGTACGTTTTCCGGAGGGAATGGGACGATTTTGACCTCTTGGGGTCTTCTTGGGAGCCTCTTGGGGCGTCTTGAGAGCATCTGGGGCCGTCTTGAAGCCACCTTGAAGCCTCTTGGAGCGATCATGAGCCGTTCTGGAGCTGTCTTGGGCCGCCTTAGGGCTTGGCGGGACCGTCCGAGGATGGCCAGGAGAGGCTCCCGAAACTGAAATTCGAATTTGACGTCGGTGGGAGCGCCCAAGGCCGAATTTATGTACGGGGGGGGGTCAGGGGGGTCCGCTATAAGAATATTCGAAGAGGAATGCAAGTGTATTTTTTATATGTACACGTAGCCCCCCGCAGATGCGGATAAGAGTGAGGGGGCGGTGGGGACGTCGGAAGAAGTTTACGAGACTCTGGAGAAGCACGCCGCAGGCGCCAACGTTTCACGAATTATGCAAGGAGCCCGCCGCAGGCACCGATTTGGTAGTTAAACCAATGTGGGTCGGTCGCGGGTGGGTCGCGGATGGGTCGCGGGTGGGTCGCTGTTGGGTCGCGGGCGTAGAGGGCAGAACATCCACCCCATAATAATCACCCCGACAAGCGAACCCGTTCATAGTAAACGCACACAAGGAATGAATCGAACAGGGCAAGGCTTTTAGTCAACGCCCAGGGCCGTTTAGTAAACGTCAACTGTCGGGTCCAGGTGTGTTTTCCTCCCTTGAGAGTGCGTCGCGTTGTGGGTCGCGGGTGGGTCGCGGGGTGGGTCGCGGGTGGGTCACGGATGGGTGTCGGATGGTTCGCAGGGTGGGTCGCGGGTGGGTCGCGGGGTGGGTCGCGGGTGGGTCGCGGGTGGGTCGCGGGTGGGTCGCAGGGTGGGTCGCGGGTGGGTCGCAGGGTGGGTCAACAACCACAACACCATCACCAACAACAGCAACAACGCAACAAACAGAATTCCCACTACGAGTTCCTTATTCAGCCACGCGCGCAGGGACACGGAATGACCATTCGGCCCCCTCATTCTGATATATGTCTATGTTTTGCTATTCGCTCTGCATCCGTCCAGGTGGCAGGACGTTGGAGAAATAATGCGAAGTACCAGAGTGGAATCACAAGCTCGACGAGGAGCCGACATCCATGTGCTTGACGGGAGCCTGCAGTTTATGGAGAAACAATCACATGTGAGTCTCAGACGGGAATGCTGTCTAGAAAAGGAGCCGCCCCCCATCAATGCATCGGCTGGCTGTTCCCAACGTTCGCGCCATGTGCCACCCTCGATTGGTGCCTTTCTTGGTGATGTCACACAACACCAGTTGAGGAAGTCTGAGGGAGAGAACAAGGTATTGAACCTCATTCGCTCTTCATCCGACTGTTGGAGCTTCATTTACCGAGCATTTAACGCTTGCTATGGTGGAAATCTTTACTGGTCAGAGGAGGATGGCCCTCCGTAGTACTCTGTGTAGCCGGCAAGCTTTGAACTCCATGGCCGGATACTTACGGCGGGCGCGTCAAACAAGAACCACGCGTAGGAAACCGCCAGCGCGTCATCTGTGCAACGTTTAGAAGATTCAGGCTTCAGACGGCATGCTGAACATACACCACATGCGAGCTACACATTACGATTCGAAGACGACCCGCACTCGACCCGTGCAGTTTTGAAACGCGAAGGCTCGATGATGGGGAAGAATCGGGAAGAGGAACAGGGAGAAGGACATGGTAATATCCTTCCCTTTCCTCCCTCCCTTCGCCCCTCCGTTGCAGCTAGATAGATCGTGCGCGGCGTTCAGGCGAGAGCACATGTTGAAAAGGAACCGCCCTTCTGCCTTGAAGCTGTTGCAGGCTTTCACGATGAATGTGCGCAGCGCTGAGGCGAGAACTATACTTTGAATACTGCGCACCCTCCATGGGCCCTTCAAGCTGTTGCGAACTTTGGACACGAATGTGCGCGATGCCCAGGCAAGAGCCACATCTTGACCCTCCCCAGCCATCCTTGCTGCTGCTGCAACATCCAACGCGTAAGAACCACAAGAGGGGAGGACATCTCAGACGAAACGCATGGCCTGCCCTACAGACACGTCTGGGCGTTCGACAGGGAGAGTTTCTCGAATAAGGAAAAAGATTGAGGACCGCAGCCGCCGCTGGCCTGCTGACCTCTGCACGGTGGTTGCCCCAAAGGCCGACTGTGCTGCGGAAGCATCCGTCTCACTTACCCTTTCGGACGTGAACCTCCATGGTGTGGTTGGCTCCCGTTTCCTTCCCCTCCCCAGCACCACTGCTGCTGCTTGTGTTTGCCGCATGTGCTGATGAAGGCGTCGAAGCGAATGGCGCAAGCTTGCGAATTTAACCGAAACGCAACTTGGAGAGTTCGCGGTGCTGCACACGATGTCGCTGCCTTTCCACACTTCGGGGTGGTGGCAAGAAGAGCTGCGCGTTTCCCTACACAACGTGTCTAGAATATTCTATGCACCTTTGCTAAGAAAACAACTGATGCACTGCAAGATCTGGAATCAATCGGGCAGCGTTGTCTCCTACTGTCTATCCCTATCGCTATCCGCATATGTGGCGGTATTCCTATTCCTTGCCCGATCCCCCCGTGGTAGTCTCATTGTCTCCTAGTGTCTCCAATTGTCTTCCATTGTCTCCCATTGTCTTCCACTGTCTCCGATGTCCTATCCCTTGTCCGATCCCTGTCTCTATCCATATCCCCATTGCCTCCTGTTGTCTCCCACTGCCTGTCCGTATGCCTATCCGCATCCCTATCCCCATCCCTATACCTATCCGCATCCGCATCCTTATCCCTATGCCTCTATCCCGATCGCTATCTCTTTATCTCCACCCCAATCCTATATCCCTCTCCCTACCCGTATCCCTATTCCCATCCCTATAGCTCTATATTCCTACATATCCATATCTGCATACACAACCCTAGATATCCCCATCGTGCCCCAAACCCAACGTGGCCTCCCATCGTGACCCCCCCATCGTGACTGATAACGCTGTTTGGGGTCTTCTGCCGCAAGGTTGTCATTTTTGTGTGATCCGCGCAATGCTGATACCCTGATGGCACTGGCAAGCTCTTCAATGACCTCTTTGGTGCAAAGGTCGTCCGCATCGGTAGGTGACCGATGAAACGCCGCCGAATCTGGGGTAACACTGGCTACAGATGATGAGAGGAGGAGCATGGGAATGATAAGGATGCTGGTGATGATAACAATACTTATGACGATGATAATAATAATGATGATTCTGATGATAACGAGGGCGACGACGATGACGATGATGATGATGAGGTTGATGATGATGATGTCGATGCAGATGCTGATGTTGCTGATGCTGCTGCTGATGATGATAGTGGTGGTGATGATGATGTTGATGATGATGATGATGCTGATGATGCGGGGAGAGAACGAAGAGGCAAGGAGACAGAATCTTCCGTCGACTCGGTATCTTCGAATCCGGGCCCCTGGACCTCTCGACCCCTTTCAAACACAGGACAGGCTCTTTCCCTGGGACGTACTCCGGGACTTGACAACGGCCTCCAGAGGCCAATACATTACCCCAGTGCGACCCTACCTAGAAGTTGGAGCCCCTAGGACAGCAGCAGTAGTTGCTATGCTATGATATGCTATGCTATGCCATGCTATGCTGCGCTATGCTATGCTATGCTATGCTATGCTGCGCTGTGCAATGTTATGCTATGCTATGTTATGCTAAGCTATGCTATGTCATGCTGCGCTGTGTCATGCTAAGCTATGGTATGCTATGCAAAGCTATGCTGAGCTGCGCTATGCTATGCTATGCTACGCTATGATATGCTATGCTATGCTATGCTGCGCTATGCAATGTTATACTTGGCTATGTTATGCTATGTTATGCTATGCTAATGCAGCGCTGCGCTATGCTAAGCTAAGCTAAGCTAACCCTCTAGGCAGAGCCTAGGTAGGGAATTACACCCATGCTAATGCTCTGCTCTGCTATGCTATGCTATGCTGCGCTGTGTTATGCTGTGCTGTGCTGTGCTTCGCTATACTATGCTATGCTATGCTATGCTGCGCTATGCTGCGCTATGCTATGCTATGCTATGCTATGCCATGATATGCTGTGCTGCGCTATGCTATGCTACGCGATGCTATGCTATGCTGTGCTCTGCTATGCTAAAGCTCAGCGAAGCTAAGATGAAGGTAAGCTAAGCTAAGGTACACCTGAGCTAAGATGAAGCTAAGCAAAGGTAATATGAAATAAGCTAAGCTAAGATGAGATAAGCAACGCTAAGCTAAGGAGACGTAACTGGGGGAACCTCGGGGCGGATGCTGGGGGAACCGCCCGGGGCGTGTTACACTGCCCGGCCCCTTTAAGATATAGGGTAATAATCCTCTAGGCAGAGCCTAGGTAGGGAACAAACAAAAAAAACAGCGTCAGACTCGACTCGGCGGCGCGCCCAGTGGGGAGGGCCGAGGGGCCGGGCTTTCTCCGAAGGCTCGAATTGGTCTCCGGCCTGCGGAGAGGCTCTCCCTCCTCCTCCTCCTCCTCCTCCTCTTCCTCCTCTTCCTCCTTCTCCTCCTCCTCCTCCTCCTCCTCCTCCTCCTCCTCCTCCTCCTCCTCCCCCTCCTCCTCCTCCTCCTCCTCCTCCTCCTCCTCCTCCTCCTCCTCCTCCTCCTCCTCCTCCTCCTCCTCATCTTGAACTTCCCCGAGGCAGCATGGGGGCCTCTCCGAGGGCCGGAGGGCCTCTGAGGAGCCCTGCAGGCCTTCTGGGAAGGCCTGCCCCCTCTCGCTCCTCTCCCCTCGGCGCGCCGCCAGGGAGGGGAGCCACCTCCCCGTTTGCGGCCAGATGGAGGGGACGTCTCGAGCGAGGCGAACGTTTCGCACCCCCGACCTCCGTCTGCTGAAGGGGGCAATCTCTTTTCGGCGCCGCAAGGGGGAGCCGCCGGGGAGGGGGACGCGTGCCCGCTCGCGCCCCGGAGTGTGGGAATGCCCCCCACGCTGGGAGACCGCTTAGCACCCCCGACCCCTGTCTTGTTGAGGGCTTCATGGTCACAGCGATACCCGTCGGTCAAGAGAAGTAGGCAGAAACGTGAAGTAGGAAGGCGGCTGTAGTGGATGGGGTCCAGGTCCTCTCAGAGAAGAACAAAACACAGCAACAACATGTCGATTCTTGCAGTTGGAAGGCGCTTGAAGTGGATCGGGACCTGGGAGTCCGAAGATACCTACTTTCAACGACCGGCCTGTATTTCTCGAGCCTCTGGAACGTTTGGGGACGACGGCGACGACGACGACGACGACGGAGACGTCGGCCTGCTCGCCGTCCTGCGCGAACGAGGGCGTGGGGCCGAAGGCGATCAGCCCTCGGCGCGGCCTCCTCCTCCTCCTCCTCCTCCTCCTCCTCCTCCTCCTCCTCCTCCTCCTCTTTGTCCCCCTCGTGGTCCTACTCTACCTCTCGGGCGGGTGGGTCCCTTTAGGGCCTTTTCTGACCCCCCCATTTAGGCCCCCCCCATTACCACCCGCCCGAACCTCCTCGTGCTGTCCTCTCACTCCACCTGGGCTCCTCCAGGTTTTCTCGACCTCCACTCTGTCGCGTGGTGTAGCGCTGGAGCGGATTGCCAGTTCACTCGGCGGACCTGGGGGAGGAGTGGGAGGAGAATCACACCAGCGATCGGCAGCTATCGAACTCGCTCGACTGATCTGGGCATTCTGAGCAGCGGTCCGACGAAGATGGCCGCTGCAATGAGCACCAAGCGGTTCTCAACCAGAGGGCGCGGAGATACGGATACCATGTCGGATTGTATACGATTGGATTTATCAGATAACTCGGAGATGCCCGAGTGGGGTTTCCGGTTAGAACTTGGAAAACATCAAACTTGCGCTGAGCCTTGAGAGAGAGAGAGAGAGAGCGAGAGAAAGAGATAAATAATGGCAGCGTGCGGCGTCGTCGCTATGGTCGAAGATCAGCGACGCATGGCTACAATGCAAAAACGCGTCGTCGCTGACCAAGTCGTGGATGACGAGGCGGAAGAGGCAGGGAAGAGAAGGACGGAGGGGGTGGAGGGTAAGAAGTAGCAAATGTACGATAATGAACGTATTAAGATGCTATACGGCCACTAGCATGTCCGACCTTCAGGGGTGTCCAATGCGCCCCATGTTGCTGTGGCAGGCTTCAGGATGATAAAGGAAGGCAAGCAGAAACATGCCGCTCGCTGCTAGATCAGATTGCTGCTGCTCGGCTGTGGGCATCGCCGTACCGCCCGAAGGAACGACAAGGAGGGAGGGAGAGCATGAAGAGCAGGCAAATACTTGAACATGGAAAAGAGATACAACAACCACCCGGCCACAGCGGGCAAAGGCGTCTAGGACAGACTGGGGCCAAGATGCGTGCGACTGGGGTCTCCGAGCACAGGCCGAGCGTGCACGCTGCGCTCGAGCATGGGGCGGCACCTGCTGCCACCTCCCTCCCTCCACGAGCAATGCGGAATTGCTGCAGCGCCACGGTTTTCCCCCCCCTCCTGACTCCGAACCCCGGGGGGGGGCCCGAAGGACGCCGAGCAATCTTGGAGCAGACGTTGGCGATCAAGTGAGCCGCTTGCCACTCAGGGCTCAGCAAGGAAGCCACGGGATCGGATTCGGTCCCGCCAGCGGGCAGCTCGAGGGGGGATTTAGGAGGGGGAGGAGGAGAGCAAGAAGAGGAGGAGGAGGAAGGAGGAGGAGGAGCACGAGGGAAGGGCGCAGACAGGCGAGGACTGCCCTCGCTCCCCCTTCGTATTGGGCGAGGGAACGGCGATTGGGACAGGGTCGCGGCAGCCACGAAGGGAGGGAGGAAGTAGACAGAAGGGAGAAGAGAGGAAGGGAGGAGGCGGAAAAAGGAGGGAAGGAGGGAGGGAGGGAGGAACGACGATGGAATCGGGAGAGGGTGGAATAGAAGGGAATGTGTAGGAACCTTGATCTATGGGGAAGGCGGCGGGCTTGCCGGTTAAGATCAGCCGTTTTGACGCCTTGGCGGACCCAATGAAAGGCAGGATCAACGCAATACCAAACACGTGCAGCTGAGAGAACATCCACTTCAGAGACATACCCGTTCCTGAGTAACTTCACTAAATCAACTCTGAATGGACCGACACTCGCACGGCAGCAAGCCAGGGGCCGAGGCGGCCTTAGCCCGTAACAACCATAATTCATTATGCCCGTAATTTTCTGGCGGAACAGCGGCTGTGCCCGTCCGAGAGACAGCATCTAGATGGTATTCTCAAAATGGTGGCACGGTCAACGCGATGGACAAGGCTAAGCCCAAACATCTGCTGGGGGCCGTGTTGTCAAATTCGGCGTTTTGTGTTTTCGTTTTGGTAGCCATTGTCTTTCCGTTCTGGTGGTTTTCGAACCGCCGTGTCCTTTTAACTTTGAACCCACTGTTTGATCAATTTTACGTGCTAAATGTCTTTCCGCTGTCTTATCCGGACACAGCCTGCGCCTTGCCGCGGCCATTTGTAGCGCATGTTCTATGTGTGTTTCTGCGCGTATTCAGCTACCCCACAACCGACGATCATGTTTTGCCGTTTCGACATTGCGTTTTCCCCCGTATCGGCACTCTGTTAGCTTTCCCTTTTTTGGCCCGCGCACGAAAATTGGTTCCCAGTTCTGGGGCTACGTTTTTCTTCAGCCCTGTTCGGCCACAACCAGAAATTCGAAAATGGGGGGGCATCACGCCCCCAGCGCTTTTTAAGAATCACTGACGCCAAGGGAACGACGTACGACCCCCCAATACCACATCTCAACACACATTGTTTGCTGGCTAGGTTGAACAGGCAAGCTGCCCCCTTCGGGATCGGATCCACAGCGTGCTGCGGCCATGGCCGGCCTCCTCCGGGGGCCTGCGTTGGGCCCCCCTGCCAGGCCGAGGCGGTGAGCTCCGCTGCCCGCCGCCCGAGCCTCGGGGCAAAAGGCTGCGACTCACGCCTGCCGTGGGCTCCTGGGAGCCGGGCTGCAGGAACAGCGCGCGAGCGCGCAGCCGGGGCGCGAGGCGCGCGGCCGCGCACGGGGGCCCCCGCACCTGCCTCCAGAGGAGACCCGGCGGCACCTGCCGAGCGGAGGCCGTGCCATATGCCCCTCGTCTCCGCGGGCGGAGCCCTGCAGAGCATCTGCCGAGCAGCGCCGGCGTCTGGTTGTCCGAGAGCGAGAGAGAGGACAGAAGCGGGCATCAGGATTCGCCTCGGGAGCGGAATCTGCGGGCGTTTGTGATCGTGACACGGCCACAACTACACTACAGCAACCACGAGGGCACGGAGCGAGAACGGGAGGAGGAAGAGGAGGAGGAGGACAATGAGGAGAAGGAAGAGGAGATAGGAGGGGGGAGGACTGAGCGAATCCCTGTGAATCATCGCCAACCACCTGGTAACGCAATTAAGCATTACCAGGGGAACAACCATGCAGAACCGCACAGCCGCATAACGAGTGCAGCCTGACGGGATGGCAGACTCCTGATTGCACACCGTCCAACCCACCTGGGCCGCCAACTTCCCGCAAAACAACAGGTCAAAACTAAGCCACACATCAGCTGATAACGGAAGAGGCGAGAGAGAGAGAGAGAGAAAGAGAGAGGGAGTGGCAGTGAGCCGGGAGGAAAGGCCAAGTTGCTGGCTGCTGCGCGTTGCTGAGGAACTGCATTTGCTGCTTCCTGGTTCGAAGATGCCTTTGAACAAGCGAAGGCGCAATGCCGAATGTCAAAGACATCATCGGCTCTGGCAACAATGGCTTATTCGACGATAGCCTGCCCATCTCGAAACAAGCAGGCATAGCTTGTTACTACTTCAAGAAGCACTATGGAGAGCGCAAGCCGCCGATAAGGAGAGGCAACGCCCGGAGAACCAGGACGGCGGATCGGGCCCTGCTCTCCCTAACGTTGGCACCATCGGTACAAATAGATGTGCCCCAATAATGTACAAGTGCCGGCAATTCAAATAAATATATGTGTATATAGATTATCTATAAAGGATGCACGAATCGCAACCTTAGAAACCACTCTCAAGCAATCAGCCGGCACGAATACCAAATCACACCGCATCTAAAACAGTGAAACAACACCCCAACGGAGAAGGGATGAGGACGGCTAGGACACGGATGAAGACGACGGAGAGCAGAGAAGGAACGACCAATATTTTAATACATGATTTGCTTGTTTGAAAAAGGGGGTAAAGAGGAATACTAGGCAGGCAACAACTCATCAGACATAATCGCATGCACTCCTGAACTCCAGAAGGGTATCCGGGCTACTCCACGGACAAATCCAAAGCAAGACAGGGCCACACATGCGACATCTCCAATGCCGTGCTGCGCTCACAGAGGCGCCCCGCTCTACTGAACAAGGAAGTCTGAAACGTGCACGGGTAGAAAAGGGACGCAATCCATACTGCCAGAATGCCGATGAGAGGGGGAGGATAACGTGCAGAGGGTGAAGAGGACGGACGAAAGAGCAAGGATAAGTGGGCGGGGGAGAATGAGGAGGTTCAAAGGCTCAGGAAGGGAAACCCGCTGCCGCGGCCGCGAGGCGGGGGAGAGTGAGGAGGCACAAGGGCTCAGGAAGGGAAACCCGCTGCCGCGGCCGCGAGGGGCGTCGAACTTGTTTTTCCGAAGAGATGCGCCGCATGGTGAGCGAGATGCGCCGCGGGATGCTACTCGAGCTGGCTCCAGCCTGACAGCCGGCTACTGCAAATGTATCCCGTCGAGGCGCGGCCGTCGGGCGGGAGACAAGGGCTGGGGCACTGGGCGGGCCCAGGCTGATGGATGATAGGGAGGAGGCGCAGGCCATCATCTGGCCGACTGGGGATCACCGAGACGGGGTCGGCGTGGCACTGGTGACAATGCATCTGGCGCGCCGCTGCCATACTTTTGGTCCGAACGTCAGATGCTGGCCATCTGCCTCCGGGACCCCAGTTGGCGATGCGGCGGCCAGCAACCCGACAAAAAATCCAGCGACGGCAACCGCATTGACGGGTGCGCACGCCATGTGGGCAATAAGCCTGATATCTCTAAACACTGTGGTGTGCGTGCTCTGTGGTGGTCGCCTTTGCAAGCGGAATTGCCCGTTCTGGATTGAACCCGTCCAACGCGAGTCATAGGATACGGGATCTCGGGATCTGTTCGGTGGACGCGTCCACAGAACAGATGCACAGCATCTTCAACTCTTTCTGTGCCACCCCCCCCGCGACGCACCAGACCGAATTTGAGTCTTACCACACCCGAACCACCATTGACAAGCATGCCTCGCACGTGCGGAAAACACAAAACACGACTGAAGGCAGGTACAACGCGGAGCTCAGAAGCGGGAGGAAATTACGAACTGAACGACGGAGGTCGAGGGAGGTGCCTTCTCTGGTGCCCCCCCCCACCGCCACCTCCAACATGGACCAGTTGGAGGCCAGCTTTTCTGCCGGCATCCGCGGCGCGGGCGAAATCACATGGAGCCTTGGAGACGTGCCCTGACACCATGGACATCACACAACAACTATCACACACGGCTTCGGGGCTCCAACAGCAGGTGCCCACGGCACAGGGGGCAGCACAAACCATCCGCGGGGGCGGCCGCAGAGCGGGGGGCGTTGTCCCCCGCGGCGCGCGGGACTCCCGCAAGCGATAGTCGGAGTGGCCACTGCCTCACGCGTGCGATTTTGTGACACGGGTCCAGTCGTTGTGGGGGTTCAGGAATTTCGGACCGATGCGGGTTCCTACTTTAGAGGGGTCGGAGGTGTGACAACTCTCTTGGGTACCATGTAGCGACTTCTGGGCGTCAATCGACTGTGGTGGTGGTGGAGCTCTGGGAGTACTCGTGTGGCCTCAACATGCAAGCACAAAAGGACCCTCCCTCATTTCCGAGTAGGAACATACTCGGAC